GTCACAGCTGGCGTCAACTGCACCAACTACCATGTGATGTGAGTGATTATAGATAATAGTTATTTTTATTATCTCTTGTTTTACTACACATTCAGGCATAAGAGTAGTTTCCTTTGCTGGGTTGCAAATATATTAAGGTCATATCTTAAATTGCTTGTCAGACAATTTTTAAAGCAAGTTTTTTTCACAAATTGCATTTTTGCTGAGCATGTTTGCCTTTCTGTTATAATTTTTCTAATTTTTCCACATTTCTTTTAATACAATGGGCTGCTGTCCATTTAAAATGTTTTTATTATATTGCATGTTGTATGGCAAACATTTATTAAAGAAGTGTAAAGAGATTCAAGATGTTGGTGGCTCTCATGTTGCTCACAGTGTTAATGGACTCAGCTTGGCTTATTCACAAATGCCTGTTAAAAGAAGAGAGGAAATTGCTGCAAGTCTAGTAGTTTACCTTAAACAGTCGGTGCACCAGATCCGTCAGCCAGGTATATCTCTTTGTATCATTCACATTTGAACTTTGCTCTGATTAAAAGTACCTGCTAAGTGAATAAATCTAAATTAATGTCAACACTTAGCATTGCTGTTACAGTAAGTTAAACATTTCAATAATTCAACTGAATTATTCACCATATGCAATTTTACTGTGTCTGTATCCTGTAGTCTGCAAACAGAGCATTGAAAATGACACTGACTGGCTGATTTTGAACTTTGGTCAGTTCTTCACGTATGTGCCTTACTCTGACTTGGCAGAATTCAACATCTCTAGGGTAAAGCACAATTCAAACTTTCCTTGCTACCTGAAATTCAGTGTGCAGTTATGATCTTGAATCCAGTGTAGAGCTTTCCTTCCCTAACAGAAGTAACAGTGAATTTCCTACTCTGCAGGAGGCCGTGTTTGGCTCTCTATCTGGTGAACAGAAGGTGGAGCGAATCTTGACACCAGGTCTGGTGGATGATGAGTCTGCCGTTAGAGAAGTGTTTGAATTTGTTGTACACTCTCCGAACCAGAACCAGTTGGATGAATTCTTTGAAATATTCAACAGCATGTCTGCACAGGTGGGAATGTTTTTTTGTTGACCTTGGTATTCATGTGATTTTTTTTTTTTGGTTTATTTTTACTTTTTCATTTATTATTATGTTTTTGGCCAAAAAAATGTTGAATCACATTATTAAGAATATATTATTATAGTTGTCTATACATTCATAAAGGCTATGTCAGTAAGCATTGCATTATAAATATACTTTAACCTATAATTTATAATTTATACTTTATGAAAATACCTGAGATGACTTGAAGAACACAGAAAAATCATATTTTGTTGCAATCATGTGTTTATTGTCTTCAAGTTTCCTCATTCAGAATATCTCTATCAAGTTACACTGATAGCTGGATATTTTTGTCCATAGAAGGGATTCCTGGAACATCACAAGTTTTGTCTTTTCCGTATTCAGCTATTCAAGAGTATATGTGACGTATTAGTGTTGTGCTTTGTTTTCAGAGAAACGTGTCAAGCATCAGCACTGCTGTGAGCAACATCATTCTGAACATGACATTGATGGAGCTGGCGAACAGATTTGAAACCTTCGATCCGCAGACGTTTTCATTATGGTTCCAGACGAACCTAAACGTTTTCCTCCCTGGGATCGGTTCAGATAGCCTCTCTGTCATCCCCAGAACCATCAGCTGTGATTCTTACAGAGAAATGTGAGCACTATTTGCTTTTGTATAGCAGGCACCTTTCATCCACAAGAATCTGTGACTACACATTTCTAGCACTGATTTTATGGCAGTGTTGAGCAGCTATTTTGAACCCAGGTGTGTCTGAGTCTAGTCCAGTCGTCAGTGTGATGGCCAGGGTCAGTCAGTCATTTCTAGGGCTTTCACTTTGTGAGAGCATTTGCTCCTTAAAACTTCAAACAATGCCCAGTAATAAACAGTAAAGACTGTTTGTAAGCTATGTTCATCACTATATTTGTTTGTTTAAAGTGTGGCCAAGTATTCCATACTCAGAATTAGTGCTCTGCATTTATCCCATCCAAAGTGCACACACACAGCAGTGAACACACACACACACCGTGAACACACACCCGGAGCAGTGGGCAGCCATTTTTTACTGCGGCACCCAGGGAGCAGTTGGGGGTTCAGTGCCTTGCTCAAGGGCACCTCAGTCGTGGTATTGAAGGTGGAAGAGAGCGCTGTACATTCACTCACCCCACCTACAATCCCTGCCGGTACAAGACTCGAACCCGCAACCTTTGGGTTATGAGTCCGCCTCTCTAACCATTAGGCCACGACTAACACACATTTATTTGATGACATCACAATAAAACAAACCAAACCAACCATCATTGGTGTACCAATGTTTAGTGAATCTTGACTTTTACAGCACATGGACTAGTGTCCACGATAAACTGCAGAATGAAGAATGAAAGAAAGCCAAGTTATGAAACGCTACTTAATTAACTAGCCACATTAATGCTTTTTAAAGGACTACGCTTTTTAATTCTATAATGATCATGTTATTTGATGAAGTTCAGGCTAATGTTTAGTAATGTTGGAAAAAAGGTCACATTTTAATAAGTCATTTTCCACTTTGTCATTGAGCTTGTGACTGAAACATTTCATTTTGGAGCTCCTTGCCTTCAAAGGAAACACCCACTGTTCTGATTGGCTGATGTCTTTGCAAGGCAAATGATCAACTGAAATTACTATGGTAAATAGGATTAAATTGGCTAGTTCTTGAAAGATAATTACAGTTTTTTTTAATTGTTAAAACACATTTCTTGAAACCATCATGCATTTTCTCAAAACCTTAAACACAAATCCAAACCTTCGAAATGAATTCATAAAACCCCTGACTCTTCTGGTAAAATCAAACAATCGGTTTCAAATTATGCACACATTAGTCAATAATATACACACTACATATAATTTATTAGACACTACATCAAAACAACCAATGAGAGCAATTGTGGTGGGCCTAAGACTAAGACGTGCTCTTAATCACGACTTCATAAGTGGGAAACAGGAAATTTCCTATAGCACGTGAAGACCGCAGAGAAGCGCTCTCGCTTAGCACAGTGGAGTGCATTGATTTGTTAACTTTGTGGTTTATTATTTTGAGTTGTTTGGGATGCAGTGACACACGGCCCTCTCACAGTATATATACGCAATCTTGCTGCACGTTTCAGAAGTTCCGCACTCCAGCGCGGTTAGCGCTCACACTCACTGATCTATAACTGAAACACACTCTGGCCCACCTCTTCCAACCGAGCCAGGGATGGCTAAACGAACCCCACCCAAGCGCAGTATGGAGCGATCACACTAGTAAAACGAACCGGGCTTTGGGGGTCAGACGCACTCTGGCATGGGTAAGACTGCCTAGTGTGAGTACACCCTTATTCTCCCGCATCCCGTACACATGAGTCTCTACCCACCTGCGCCTGCCCATCAAGTGTTGTCCGCGCCGCACTCTGCTGTGTTGGGTCCCACGCAGGGTTGCCGGTTTTCACATCAAAACCCGCCCAATTGCTACTCAAAACTAGCCCAAAACTAGCCCAATCACGTTTCGAGGGGGATCCCCCGGTAAAAATCGCATTCCGGTGAGGTAAAATACATGTTTTCGGTGGGGTTCCTCTGGTAAAATTAGCATTTTAGGGGCTAAATATCACGTTATTGGGGTTGCTTAAACCCGTGGACATAAAAAAACAACCATAGGTGGAAATATCCCCCTATCTGAGGGTTGTCCCCCCCTAAAAATATGATTAAATGAAATACCATGCTGTTTTTCGTAAATAACAATGTTTTATACTTTAAATAATAGTGTAAGTAGTAAAATAGCACAAATGCAAACAGGGCAAAAATGTGTTTTAAGTTTATAAATATTTTGAGTCTCCCCCTCCCTTACCTCACAGTGCTTTGGTCCAAATGCCTGCTTTCCTCTTTTACATCACCTACACACACCCAAGTCTGGTGAGAGAGAAAGTCAATAGTTGTGGATCTCCAGTAAGTAAGGCTGTCAAGGCTTTTTTTTATTAATTTAAACATCGGATGAAGTGATTATTTTCTGTTTAATACAGATGATGCCAATATATTTTCCGATGAGTCCACTATGTTAGCAATAATAACGTTACCTGCTTGACAGAAAGGGTTGCCACGTTTTCACAACAAAACTCACCCAATTGCTACTCAAAACTAGCCCAAACTCAGGGCCGGCACTAGCTATAAGCAGAGCAGGCGATTGCCTAGGGCCTCGGGCTTTGAGGAGGGGCCTCCATAACCGTAACATCCCCTATACACCAGTCCACCAGTAAAGACATGCAGAAATACTAGCCTCATTGTTCATTAGATATAGTTGAAGTACACTCGTTTGCAATTAAATGTTGCAGTTTCAAAGTGGGTCCCGCCTTCTGAATGTGTAACGAAACGAACACATACTTCAGGTGCTGTGAACTGTGCGATGCAAATGGCTAAATAGGCACACAAAAAAGTACAGCCCTTAACGCAGGTGTGTGAGTTGTTGTAATTTATTTTGGAGTGATTGCAATGTTTTCTAAATATAAACTTGTTCTGTCGATCAGCGTAATTTCTGTACAGATCCTTCACTGCTTTATTACGAGTTTAAAAGAGCACGAGCGTCATTGACGCGCCCAGACGCGACGCTTTCAATTTGCGCATACAGTGAATGACATCGTGTTGGGAGCTGACTGGCAAAATAGCTACAAAAGTAAAAGCAGAGATGTTTGTATTCATAGTTAAAAAGCAAATACACTAGAGCATTTTTTTAATGGTTCAAATAAAGGATCTCAGGTGTATCTTCTAAATTCGGCTGATGATTAGGATTACTGCCCTGACATAACACTTACAACTAACTAAATCACTTTTTTTTGCTTAGTAGCGATCGTGTCTTAATGTTCCACTTGATTTGTGTGTATAAATCATGTGTAATGTATAAAAAATGTATAAATGCAAAAATAATCTCTCAAATTACTCTCAAAAAGGAAAACACACAAACACACACACACACACAGTGGGTTTCTGTCACCACAGGCCAGTTCTTCCACACTAACGTGGTAGTTTAAAATCCTACACAAGATTCTCTTCCACTCTTCTTTTGCTGTTTTTTTTAAACTTTCCAACTGATTCTGGTGACCAGAGAATCTGCTCAAATTAGGCTTTGTGCTGCCTCTGTCATTCCACACACAAGAACATGGTCTATCACAGTAGCTCTGATTTCATCTGAAATGACTGTTCTTGGTCTTGCTCTTCCTCGTCCTCCTCTTCCTCCACCTCGTATACGCACTCTTCTGTACCTCTCAGATTGATGGATGCACTCATGCCATCTGTGCACTTTAAACTGGCTTATATTTTCTACATTCACATATTTAGAAACAAGTGTGAACACTTTTGAATTATTGTGTGTAAACGATGACAGCCGTGTTGCAATTTTGCTTTCTTGTGTTTAGGGTTTTGATCCACAAGTTTATAACGGTTCAGATTGTGTTTTAGTGAGTGAGAATGTGTTTAGAGTTTTGCTAAAAGAGTGCATGAGATCTGTAAACAGTGTCTAAACTGCCTGAACTTGTTTAAGGTTTTGCAGAGAGAGTGATTTATTTGACAAATTGGTTCAGACTATTGAGAATTTGGTTCAAAGAATGGGATTTAGTGTCTTAGCAAATGTGAAAAACTGTAAGCCTAATTTGGTAAGAACCATATTTACAGTATATGCTGTCTTGAGTGACAACAGTGGGGAGAAATGGACACTATCTACAAACATGTAAGGTTTATAAATCTGTCTCCAGATGATTTTTATTATACCATAACTAATACTGTTTTGTGTTTATTTGATAAGTGTTTACCTCTGATGGAGAGAGTGTCCTTTCTGGGTTATGCAGAGATGTAGTTTCTCCACAGCAATATCTGGGGTTTTTTTTGGTTGGACAAAACGTTTGTAGTTCATCCAGTCATTCATTTATTCCTGTGTTTGTAGCGTGAAAGGCTGTGATAACGTTTTCAGCAGTCTCACACCGATTCAGACGGAGTACGTCTACAGTTTCACACGAGACTATCTCTCCCATCAGCCCAGCCAAGGTAACGTGTGTGCTTGTGTGTTCTTGTGTGTTTGTATAAACAAGTGTTAAATAATGTGTCTCTGATATTTTCAGGAGGTTCCTGTGTGCTCAGTACTAACAGTGATGCCGACTGGCTGCTGAAAAACTTCGGACAGTTCCGCATCATCGCCAACTTTACTGACTTTATCAACTTGAAACGAGACTTTAATGGAGTAAGCAGAGAGATGGCAGTTTGTGTGCTGTTTTAACGCTCTCACACACTCAGACGCTCAATTTTTACTACATTTTCAAATGAATACTTTTTTGGCATGACTGTGTTACATACAGTACAACATTGCCAAAGAATTATAGCTAAAACAAGTTACTTGAAGCCATTATGTATAAAGCCTTATAAAGGGATTCGTAATGTTCATTATAATGTATTATTTCTTTTCATAATTAATTTTAACCAAAGTTAAAATGCATTGTAATGTTTGCAGATTCCTTGTTACATCTGAAATTTGTTATTTATCATGCATTTTAATGAATTATATTAACATAGGCATAACAGTGAATAGATTCAAATGTAATTTAACTGAACCACAGTTACTCATAAGATCATACAATGTTTCATGAGATCAATGTTGTATGTATAATTAATACATTAAAATAATTTTATGTTTTGGTATATTTGGTTTGACATATATAATGTATTAAATTAAAATAAGAATATAATATTTATTTTAAAAAGTATTTAAAAAGATGCTGAGTAATGAATAAAAATAAGATTTAGAAAAACAAGTAAAAAAAAATAAAATATCTATATATTTATTTATATCTATATATTTATATAGATATAATAAACATGTTTTAAAATATTTTGAAAAAAAATCTGAAAAATATACATGGATGGTCTTGACTATTGATTAGTAGTTGGTTTGTAAAAGATGAATTTTGCGGTAATTTTTGTGTAACTGTTTTCCTGCAGTAACATCTTCATTTGATCCGTCCTCTCTCTCTCTCTCTCTCTGTATTAATTATTTTCTCTGTCTCTCTGTCAGGTTGAGGTGGTGGAGTTTCTGACTGTGTCCCAGCTGGCTGAGCTTTGCTCTGACCTGTCACGTCTCAGCAGACCAGCAGATGTTCAGACTGTGATGAATGAGCTTCAAACGCAGACGCTTTCAGAGTTTTTTGATGTTCTTTCTCCAAACATTCAAGTATGTTGTGGATTTATTCTCTGCAGCTGTGAATATCCTTATCATTTGTTTATGTCCATCTGTCCTCGTGCCTCATTCTTGTCTTGTCTTGGTCTTCTGTGCAGGTGAATGAACAGGGCTACTCTGTGGAGGTGAAGCGGATCTTCCTGCAGACAGTGTTTGTGCGAGGTGATCTGTCGTCTCCTTCAGTCAGTGATTCTGAGCTGTCAGTCTGGCTCACGGTTCGACTCAGGCCGCTGCTGTCTGCTTTGAGCTCACCAGACGTTACGGTGTATTTCGACATCGTCAGGGCTCGAGGCTGCAGCATCAAACAGGAGGCGTAAGAGACTGTGTTTTTGCTCAGTTGTAGTGAGAAAATATTCATGCGGTTTTCAGATGATTCATTCACTCATCATAAGTCAATTTATTGCGATTTTTTTGTGCATTGCATGGCAACAGTAAACATGGACAATAAACACAGACAGTAGCATATATGCAGAGTAAAACAATGTGTGTGTGTGTTTGTGACGCAGTGTCAGTGTGCTGGACTCTCAAAGAACGGCTCTGGATGAAAGCACACAACGTCAGATCTATAACAACATCCAACAGCTACTCACAGGTAACACACACACACACACACACACACACTCACACTCACACACTCACTCTCACTCTCACTCTCACTCTCACACTCACACTCACTCTCACTCTCACTCTCACTCACACACACACACTCACACACTCACTCTCACTCTCACTCTCACTCTCACACTCACACTCACTCTCACTCTCACTCTCACTCACACACACACACTCACACACTCACTCTCACTCTCACTCTCACTCTCACACTCACACTCACTCTCACTCTCACTCTCACTCACACACACACACTCACACACTCACTCTCACTCTCACTCTCACTCTCACACTCACACTCACTCTCACTCTCACTCTCACTCACACACACACACTCACACACTCACTCTCACTCTCACTCTCACTCTCACACTCACACTCACTCTCACTCTCACTCTCACTCACACACACACACTCACACACTCACTCTCACTCTCACTCTCACTCTCACACTCACACTCACTCTCACTCTCACTCTCACTCACACACACACACTCACACACTCACTCTCACTCTCACTCTCACTCTCACACTCACACTCACTCTCACTCTCACTCTCACTCACACACACACACTCACACACTCACTCTCACTCTCACTCTCACTCTCACACTCACACTCACTCTCACTCTCACTCTCACTCACACACACACACTCACACACTCACTCTCACTCTCACTCTCACTCTCACACTCACACTCACTCTCACTCTCACTCTCACTCACACACACACACTCACACACTCACTCTCACTCTCACTCTCACTCTCACACTCACACTCACTCTCACTCTCACTCTCACTCACACACACACACTCACACACTCACTCTCACTCTCACTCTCACTCTCACACTCACACTCACTCTCACTCTCACTCTCACTCACACACACACACTCACACACTCACTCTCACTCTCACTCTCACTCTCACACTCACACTCACTCTCACTCTCACTCTCACTCACACACACACACTCACACACTCACTCTCACTCTCACTCTCACTCTCACACTCACACTCACTCTCACTCTCACTCTCACTCACACACACACACTCACACACTCACTCTCACTCTCACTCTCACTCTCACACTCACACTCACTCTCACTCTCACTCTCACTCACACACACACACTCACACACTCACTCTCACTCTCACTCTCACTCTCACACTCACACTCACTCTCACTCTCACTCTCACTCACACACACACACTCACACACTCACTCTCACTCTCACTCTCACTCTCACACTCACACTCACTCTCACTCTCACTCTCACTCACACACACACACTCACACACTCACTCTCACTCTCACTCTCACTCTCACACTCACACTCACTCTCACTCTCACTCTCACTCACACACACACACTCACACACTCACTCTCACTCTCACTCTCACTCTCACACTCACACTCACTCTCACTCTCACTCTCACTCACACACACACACTCACACACTCACTCTCACTCTCACTCTCACTCTCACACTCACACTCACTCTCACTCTCACTCTCACTCACACACACACACTCACACACTCACTCTCACTCTCACTCTCACTCTCACACTCACACTCACTCTCACTCTCACTCTCACTCACACACACACACTCACACACTCACTCTCACTCTCACTCTCACTCTCACACTCACACTCACTCTCACTCTCACTCTCACTCACACACACACACTCACACACTCACTCTCACTCTCACTCTCACTCTCACACTCACACTCACTCTCACTCTCACTCTCACTCACACACACACACTCACACACTCACTCTCACTCTCACTCTCACTCTCACACTCACACTCACTCTCACTCTCACTCTCACTCACACACACACACTCACACACTCACTCTCACTCTCACTCTCACTCTCACACTCACACTCACTCTCACTCTCACTCTCACTCACACACACACACTCACACACTCACTCTCACTCTCACTCTCACTCTCACACTCACACTCACTCTCACTCTCACTCTCACTCACACACACACACTCACACACTCACTCTCACTCTCACTCTCACTCTCACACTCACACTCACTCTCACTCTCACTCTCACTCACACACACACACTCACACACTCACTCTCACTCTCACTCTCACTCTCACACTCACACTCACTCTCACTCTCACTCTCACTCACACACACACACTCACACACTCACTCTCACTCTCACTCTCACTCTCACACTCACACTCACTCTCACTCTCACTCTCACTCACACACACACACTCACACACTCACTCTCACTCTCACTCTCACTCTCACACTCACACTCACTCTCACTCTCACTCTCACTCACACACACACACTCACACACTCACTCTCACTCTCACTCTCACTCTCACACTCACACTCACTCTCACTCTCACTCTCACTCACACACACACACACACACACACACAGGTTTGTTTTTATGGTTATGGGGACTCTCCATAGGAGTAATGGTTTTTATACTGTACAGACTGAAAATGTCCTCATAAATCACCTTCTCGTTGTAATACCTATGTCATATTCATGTTATTATACAAATTTGTGTCCTCATAAACCACATAAACATGCACACACACACACACACACACACACACATCCAGGTATTTCTTCAGCTGTGGGCACAGCCATAGTCACTTTTAGAAAGTTTTATTAAACACAATTTTACATGCTTACATTATTTTCATTATTTTCAAAAGTCACAAACATTCTCAATGCAGCCTTATTCCCATCACTTCTCAAATTAATGGTGTTTCATTAACATTCGGTGGAAATAACATTACATTATTTGGAATAAAATGGCAGACATCTTTGTTTTTGCCAAGGCAAATTTAATACAATAAAAACAATTAAATAAAAATTTAAATAATGACTAAAGAATTATATATATATATATTATGTAGCATGAACTGATCAAATGCATAATGGAAAGAGTTTGCCAAATGCGTAAATGTACTTTAATTTTCTAGTACATGAATATATAATGTTGGTAACACTTAATAAGATTCCATTAGTTAATGCATTAACTAATATTAACTTGCAATGAGCAATACATTTGTTTCAGTTAATAAAAATACAACTGTTCATTGTTAGTTCATGTCAGCTCTGTTTCATTGAATGATATTAACAGAAAAAATGATTTTAATAATGTATCAGTGCATATTGTTTGATTTTGATAATGTATTAGTTAATGTTGAAATTAACAAACTCCAATTGATAAATGCTTTAGATATATTTTTCATTGTTAGTTCATGTTAAATAATGTAGTTAACTAATATTAACAAATGGACTCTTATTGTAAAGTGCTGCCATAATGCCTTATATTTAGCACATAGTGTGTCTTTCACTGACACTCCTGTCTCTTGGCAAACAAGCAAACAGCATTTTATTTTAGTTTTTTATTGAGTTTTTCAATTTAGTTTGAATATAAAATGATTGGTTTGTTTGTCTATTTTTATTATAATTGCCATGTTAGGTATGAAAGATGGATATACTTTATAACCAACTCCTAAAAGTTCTTCGTGTTGTATGTTCCTGCAGATGCTCCTCTTCGCTGTTATGTCAGTGGCAGTTTCTACCTCTTCCTCAAGTCTTTCTTCCTCCAGTTTGGATTTCCAGACCTCAACACCTTCCAGTCTCTGATCTCTGTGGACAGGAGGCCTGAGGTACATCAGCGTTCCTCTATTGCTCGATCTCTTTCCATCGCATCTCTTCTGATCCGTGCGTTTCCTCCCGCAGCTGCTGGGCTCCATCTCTACAGCCGAGCTGAGCGAGTTCCTGAACAGGCCTCAGATGCTCGGAGACGGGTCGGGACTCTGCCATCTGCTCAGCCAGTACAACCAGACCGCACGCTATCTGGAGACGGTAGGTCTTTCAGATGCCCTTGAGCTGTGTTCTTAAGCATCGTAGGCACACTCCGGACAACAAGACTGCACTGTTATGCTGCCATTCAACATTCCTGGTTATGTGGATATAGTTTGTTGCAACAAGTTCAGTGGAAAAAATTCAAGATGCTAGAGTGTTGAGAAAGAGGTCTCATTCGGTGCTAAAAATGTGTAAAAACGATTCCCTCTATGAAGGAAGCTGTGAGCACCCTCAGTGCAGTACTTGTTTCGAGCACAAATATGGTGTATTTATATTGTTTTTCCTGGATGCTAAAGATTCACTGCAGTTCAGAGTCTCTCTGTGTCCCTCAGGAGCCGCTGGGACCCGTGGGTTTGGCCTGGCAGGTGTTGTCCTGCGTCTGGCCTGGAGTTCTGAAGCTGGAGATCCAGTCTGAGGTGGATCAGTGGTTCGAGCATCGACTTGTGCGATACCTGGCTCTGCTCAGCTCACAGCTCCTCAGCCCCGCACAGCTCAGCAGCGCCGCCTGTCTGCCCTACAGGAAACTGTGAGCGCTCACACATCACTAAATACCTCCACACAAACACCTGGCGTTATACTAAGCAGCTGTCTGTGTGTGCAGTGTTTCAGTTCTCGGAAACAACTACAACTTCTCCAGAACTGACTTCACCCCAGAGGATGTTTACAGCTCCATGAAGGTGTATCTCACAAATGGTAAGAATATGTACTTCGTATTTATGTTTAATAGGTGTAGAGTTGTGCGTGAATCGCTTTGGATAAAGGTCTGCTAAATGAATATATGTAAATGTGCGTATGTGTTTGAGCTGCACGATTAGCCAGTAAAAAGTGGTGATCTTATTCCTGAATGACAGCGATATGGCTATGTCTTTTAAAACTTAGTTATAAGTACAATCACACCAGAACTTTTAAATCAGCGTTTGACAGCTTCACAAAAAAGTATTTTCAACTAATGTGTTTTAAACATCCAAATAATCACAGAATGTGTTTAAAGATTGAATATAAACACTGATGTCTATGGAAGCAATAAAATACAGTAAATCCCCTTCTGAAGAGTAACTTGACACTTCAAATAAAGATTGTATGGACTGCGTGGTTATGCCAGTACGGTGTGTGGTGACAAGTGACTGTTAAAAGCATTCTTTCAAGAGGTTTGTTCAAAAATGCATTAAACAATCAAGTGAAGTCTTTACAAATGAATTGTTTAATCATTCATTCAAACAGATTTTTTACATTAATTTGTTCAAATGAATAAAAAAAAAAAATAGAATTGTGACCTCTATTTTAAAAAATGTGATTCTCAGTTATTCCAGACTCGTTCAGCTGTAGTGTGTGTGTGTGTGTGTGTGTGTGTGTGTGTGTGTGTGTGTGTGTGTGTGGACAGGTGGCTCACCGCGCTGCTATAACGCCGCCGATCCTCAGCTGAACTCCACAAACTGGCTTGTGAGCTACATTGGCGTCTTCATCAGATACGTCAATCTGTCTGACCTCAACTCTTTCGTGTCATCTGACCAGGTAACAAGCGCGCTACGTCTGTCCCCTGGTGGAGTTAAGGTTCCTTTCCACTTTCACCTTTGGCTTGTTTAGTTGTGGTTTATAAGAAACCTAATGTGACGGCACGACACTCTCAGATGAGAACTGTGTAATGGTGCTATTGTCTTCTGCTTTACCGCTGAAATTGATTTTGTCTCATATTTGATGATTTTGCATCACTGATTCTGTTGTTTTCCTGTTTATTTCTTTGAATCTGCTTCAACACAACCTGTGTTGTATAAAGCATGATAGAAATAAATGTGACTTGACTTGAACATCTCTGAGAAATGTTTCCAGTAACGGCGCTCCTGTGTTGTTCTGTAGATTGGTGTGTTCTTGGAAAACCCGGAGAACCTTCAGCTGCTCAACAGCACCATAACCATCCAGTCCAGCGTAGCCAACTACTACGTAACACAGCTGTACAATCAGAACCCGTCCTTCAACCCCATCAGGTGTGCAGCTGGTCTGGTCAAATCACACCTAAAGCAGAGCAACTGTAAAATCTGAATCTAGCCTTCAGCTGCACGTGTGTTTGTGTTACAGGCTGCCAGGCCAGTTCTTGTGTGGAATTCCTTCATTTGCATTCGAGCTTCTAGGAGCAGACGACAGTTTGGTGCTCATCCAGCAAATCAACGTGTTCTGTAATGGAACCGAGAGCCCTGAGGTGATCGATCGATCAATCGCTCAGTCAATTCATTGATCAGTTGACCTCATTTGACCCGCTTCATCTTCGTTTCAGATCACGTCTGCTCTCGCAGCCAATCTCCCTTCGCTCTCCTCCTCCACCATCCAGCTGCTCGGCAGTCAGAGCGTGGGCCTGACGGAGGCTCAGATAAGCTCCGCCTCCGCTGATGTCATCAAGGGCGCGCTGTCGACTCTCAGCGCCGTCGACGGCTGGAATCAGGGCCAAGCCAACGCAGTCATACAGACTCTCATTCAGTCCGACTTTCCAGTGAGTCTAAATAACACTTTCAGCTGTATTTTCCCTACATGCTACACTGAACCCTACACTGTTTGCACAATGCACTGCACACTAGTCCCTACACATTAAACCCAATGCTCAGTTTTGAGCTCTTCAGAGGCGGATTTATCTCCTTTGGAATGCAGCAAAGGTTCAGTTGCCTGTAAAAGACCTTGATTAGTTGCTTCAGGTGTGTTTGATTAGAGTTGGAGCTGAACTCAGCCAGACAGAAAACCTCTGCTATACACTACACTGCAGGGTTATTACAGTTCATTAAACTATAAAAAAAATAATTAATTGAAATAATTTTTTTTAACTAAAATAAAACAAAATATAAAACAAATTTTATTTCAGTTAGTTGCAAAGACAACATTTCTTATTTTCATTTAGTTTAAGTGCTAAAATTACATAAATTAAAATGATAAAAATTATATAGACATTTTAAAAAATGACAAAGATACACAACAAAATTGCTAAAAGTTTAACCTCTTAACTGCCCCCCCCCTTGAACATAGACTTGAAAGTGCACTATTCAAACTTAAATTGTTATAATTCATGAACGCTTTTGAATGCAGACCTAAGTTTGGTCTCTTTTTAAAGAAGGCAATCTGAAGATTATTGCAGTGAATTTCAAAAAAATGAAAGTAAAAAAAGTTATAGAAGTTTAAATTTACTGTAAAGATATTGTACTGTACTATTTTTATTTTATTTTTATATAAAATAAATATTTTACAAAATAGGTTTTAATAAAGCCATATGTTTTAATAAGTTAATGTTCCAAATTTGAAGTTTGAAGATATAAAAAAATTAATTGAGTTAACTATGAAATTTTGTTTAGGTGTTATACCACAAACAGCCACCAGGTGCAATCCAAGACCAATTGAATTTTTTTGATGCATTTTTCTGTCACACGTCTAAATGTCTCTCTCAGTGTTACTCCTATCACAAAATAACCACCAAATATGGAATCTTGAGACTCAGACCTTTCCGACGATATGCATTTTGTCAAGATTATAAAAAATTTTTATTCCAAAAGACCATAACACATTTTGTAATATGACACCCCACACTAAGCGGGAGGAGCCCTCTAAAAGATTTTTTAAACGCAATATCCGATTTCAAAACGGTTTTCACAGGATGAATTTTGAGATTTTAAGCTTTCAAATGATATATAATTTATGATGATTACTAAAACATGTAATAGGAAAAAAGGAAACAAATAGAAATTTTGTGACAAAGGTCAGAGCTCCTGTTATGGTGTACATGTTTTGAGGTGCACTCTTGTCATAAATTAATCTATTACTGCTCCTACATATTTTTTTTACAACAAACAGTGGTAAAATATCTATTTAGGAGTCTTAGATCTTTCCAACGATATATAGTTTGTCATGATTAGATTAGGATTTAATAGTAATATATTGAAGAAAACTTGACAGTTAAGGGGTTAACTAAAATTACAATGAAAATGGAAAAACTAGTTCAAATTATTAATAGAAGCTATAATACTAATGAAAGATAAAATAAAACCGCTGAACTGAAAAAGATGCGACGATCTTCGGGGTGTTTTTCAGATCAACACCGGCTCTTCTCTGCTGTCTCTCGGGACGCTCGTCAAGGGCGTTCCAGCGGAAACCATCTCCAGCATTGAATCCTCAGAGCTCCTGGCCATATCCAGAAATCCCACGTTCATCAGCAACATCCTCTCAGCGCCAGAAATCCTGCAGCTGGTTTACGTCATGAAGGTACCGAGCGCTCAGATGTGTTTAATCACCTCTACATCTCGAACCCTCTCTCAGATTCTCTCATCCTCTTCCTCCTCAGATCGCATCCATAGATGAAACTAAAGTCATCGAGAACGTTCCGGACGCATTGGCTGGCTCCATCCCGCGCCTCTTGTTGATCCCTCAGGAGTCTGTGAACGTCACCCTCATCAACCTCAAGCTCTGGAAACAGGAGCAGGTGCCGACATTTCTCCGCTTCTTCTGTTTTTATTTCGCGTGACCGCTGGTTTGGTCATGATTTGGTTTGGTTGTGATCTACGATGGTGTTGGGGTCAAACTGACCTCCATTGGTTTCCATGCAATTCACGAACAAATCAACACTATGAAAAATCATGTTAAAACACATCACAATAAATGCGTTTACATTAGTTTCCTACATTAGTTAACATGAACTAACATTGAAAAATACCTCTAAAGCATTTGTTAAACTGAATGTGAATCTCAACATTTACTAATACATTATTAAAATCAAAAGTTGATTCTGTTAATATTATTGGTAGCACTTAAGATAGCGAAACACATATTCACTACTAACTAGAGTTTCCCCTCAATAAACTCATAATCCGCTGCTTATTAATAGTTAGTACGGTAGCTGTTAAATTTAGATATTGAGTGGATTAAGGGATGTAGAATATGATCATGCAGAAAGAGGCATAAATATGTGCTTTATAAGAACTAATAAACAGCCAGTGTGCTAGTATTTTGCATGCTATTAAGCAACTAGTTAATAGTGAATAGTGTTCCCTAATTTGAAGTGTTATTGTTTTAATTATATGATTTATTTAATAGACCTGAACATGGACTTGCAATGACGTTTTATGACCTAACGTGAACAAAGATGAATAAGTAATGTAACAAATGTATCGCTCATTGTTAATATTAGTCAATGCATTAGTTTACTAATTGTATTAGGTTTTAATAAATTTAAACATATTAAGTTTACTAATTGGAGCTTACTGTAAAGTATCACTCAAAACCCTTAATGTAGCTCGTCAGAGACTAAAAAATATAAAATATGTGAGAAATGATTGATTTTTGACAAATTGCATGGGGAAACCTTTGTACTCTTTCCAATACGGTGGAACATTTGCGTGCACATTCACGAATAGAGCCTGAATAAGAAAAAATCACAAGATTTGAAGAAGAAATAAATAGTTTAACCAGTGTTTCAAGCAGTTTAATGTGGATCAGTTTGAGCACAACACAAAAGGAGGGTTAGGAGTCTGTTTCGGTTGTGTATATCTCAGGCTGATTCTCTTTCTGTCGTACTGTAGGCCGTGATGCTGTTTGGCTCCGTGGCGAGTGTCAGTGAGGACACCGAAGAGTACGTTTCTCAGAAACCTTCTCATCACATTTCTGTACTGTGAGTGAAAGAGCGGTCTGCAGGTGTTTTAAGCGTGTTTGTCTCGCTCTGCAGGCTGTCTGAGGCACTGCTGCAGGGCTTCACCTGCACGTCGGTCCGGACGCTCGCTGAGCCCAAGGTCAAGCGGCTGGTGAAAGCCTGCAGACATCGGCCGGGACGCCAGAAGGTCCAGCTGAAAGAGAGCCAGGTACACACCTTACTTATGTCTGCTCAGTATTTATGTCTGCGTTTGTGGAGTTTTAATGAGTAAGTGTTTAATTGTTGCACTCTAGCTGGTGTGCATGTACAACTACATGAAAGAGGAGGCTTCGCCACGCTTCACAGATTTACCTTCAGACATGCTGCTTTACTACAAGTGAGTAACTACACCATCTGAAACATTCACATGACACATTACATTTATTTGTTTATGGCTTTAACATGATCTATTATGATGATTTATTATTGCTATTCTTTTATTATATTTTATTATGATTTTATCTAAAGTAACTTGCAAAGGAAAATAAGTCAATTATCCAGGGTAGAAAACAAACAAGTACCAAATCTCAGCGGAGCAGAAGAGAAGACCTCACAGCTGTTTCACTCTTTCACCGTATTTCCATCACTCAGATAAAATACTTGCTTAGTAGTCCAATATTTGTCATATTTACAAAGAAACATGTGCATGTTGTGCTCTTGGACAACAGACTCCACAAAGAGTGACGGGAATGAGAAATGTTTATTACTGAAGTACACAAATTACTATTAAAAATGAAAAATGTTCTCTGTGATTGTCATTTTATTTCATTCATGGATGATTCACTATTTTGCTTTGTTCCTGATTCCTAACTTCTGCCACAAAGAGTGACGAGAATGAGAAATGTTTATTACTGAAGTACACAAATTACTATTAAAAATGAAAAATGTTCTCTGTGATTGTCATTTTATTTCATTCATGGATGATTCACTATTTTGCTTTGTTCCTGATTCCTAACTTCTGAGTGTTTCTTTGATTTTCTTGTTTGTGGTCATCTGTTTGTTTGTTCTTTTGTAGTAATTTGTTCATGTTTGCTTGTTTGTGGTTCAGCTATGAGAAGGTGGAAGAGACGAACTGCCGCTCGTATTTCAGCGCTGTGGGTACAGCAGATTATTCTGTTCTTTCCAGCGTCCTTGACAAACAGAAGACTTTGTTCAACAATGCACAGAGCTGTCTGGTGAGCAGTACACACACGCACACACACACACTCTCACACTCTCACAC